AGCTCGCCGGTCACGCCATCGACCTTCACAGGCGCCACGCCGGTTCCCTGGTAATAGTTACGAATGGTAACCCCGTCCTTCTTCTCGCGGATCAACTTCTGAAACCAGACGCATCCCTTTCCACTCCCCAGCTCTCCCTCACAGATACCGCCTTGGATCGAAAATGATAATGTGCATGCCAGTATCATGCTGATATTTCACCTCGTTTTCAGTCAGCCCGAGAAACGGGTGAATGAAGCCGTTCCGCTCGACGGACACGTACGTGGTGGGAAGAGGGTCGGTCAACGGCTCAAGTGCCCTGGCCACTGCATTGGAAACGGTCCCAAAGGCGTAACCATCGGTTGAAACATTGGCTACCTGACCGAACACGTAGTAGGGGATACCGGCGAGCATGGAGGAGCGTCCGACATTGCGCGGGTGAGTGCCCTTGACTGGATCATGCACGTTCCCAAGAACACGAACAGCCTCTACCTTGGGAGGGAAGATTGCCTTGTGCTTCTCGTACCCAGCAGTCAAGGAGATTTTCCCGCAGACGGTATCGTACCCGACGGGGAGGGGTATCGCGTCTTCCATCTTTGGAGGAGTGTCCTTTGATGAGGATTGGGCTTTGTCACTGTCTTGAAGGGATGAAAGACAAGCCAATGTTGTGGCGTGAGTGTTTGCAGAAACCAATGGAGACGCTGCAGGATGCCGCCTAAGCACCAACCAAGCCGCTTTTATTATTTAATATTCCTGTTAAACAGTGCCCAATACGTTCCCTGACCGCACATCTCGATCGATGGCCCCACATGCCCATCGCCATATCGTTTCTTCTTTGTAACTCACTGGCGTCATGCACCCGGGTCAGATGTGAAGGTCACCGAGATCGAAATATCCCAACATATCCCGTGTTTTCATACGTCAAGGGAGACCTAACAAAAGCGTGATTGTCGTGTCATCGACTCATAGCTGAACCCGCCAGCTTAACTTGCCAGCACACTTGATCCCTGTGGGCGCCAACCAAACTTAGCTCCCGTATTTCGCCATGGATACCTTGACTTGGACTGTTTTTGACGCCAACCTTCCAAGGTTGCTGCGGTGGGGTCACGAGATCACATGGCGAGGTTTGTGCCTGGCAGAGGCCGAGACGCAAGACATCGCGAGAGGGCGAAGCAAGCAGGGGCAGGAAACTTCGTGAGGCGGAGGTGATATCATAGGTTGAGGATTTCGGAGTTGCTGAGCGTATATTTTACATGGTAAAGCGCCCGGAACATATCACCCAATAATCGAACAGCCCAAAGATGACTTGACCACCTGCTATTATTTAACTAAACAACACATTGAAAAAGAAAAATTTTTCCTCTTCTCTGAATTCGACAGGTGCAGAGCGGAAACGTGAAGTAATATACAACGTAAAATAAATTCAAAGGAATCATAGAAGATATATAATGGATAATTTCATATACAAGCAATAACAATTCGCGCCCGCCCCCTAACGCCTTACTTTAAAAAAATATAGACTCCTTGGTATTCTCTCAAGGGTCTAGAATTGAAAACTCAAAAGGATCCAGTTATTGAATCGCTGACAAAACCCCCATGCACTTACGCTCGAATGCAGAGCATCTACCAATTCGATTCGACGGCAACATAACGCATTCATCAATACCTCCTCCGAGTTGGCTCTGGGCTTGGACTGCGGGTCACACTCCGTTCATCACGCCCTCTCATCTTCAGCCATTTCTTCGTCGAGAGCTCGAGCTCCCTCTCTAGCTCAGGACTTGGTTCCTTCCGATGTATGAGATTGCAGAACCCTCCGCGAACACACCCTTCTCCACTATTCAGCCGACAACATGCTTCTCGGAAATCGGTGACGGGGGATAGCTCGCAGTATATGGGTCGCGCCGCATACCATCGAGAATTCAGCGCATCGCAGGCCTGCTGCGCTGAGTCTTCGTATTTAAATCGAGCATACACGTTTCCGATTAGGTCTGATATTTTGCGGGGGAAAAAAAATTTGCAGGTATTAGCACAATCCATGGAAAATCTAGCCGGGGGGGGGGAGGGCAAAAAAGCTTACGGTCATTGTTATTATCGCACACTACGACCTCTTCAAGTTCGCCATATTTGCACATTTCACACCAGAAATCTTCATAGAAGGCATCGAAGTGGTTTTGCAGCTGGCTCGGGTTCATTTTATTCTTGGTGTCATATGCCGGGTTTTGGTACAGATTTGGCAGGAGGATCGTCTGCGAGTATGAAGGCTTTACGTGCTTTCGCGAACATCGATCACCATGGCGGCAGGCACCGATTTTGTAGTAGAAAGAGCAGTTGACCTGTATTTTTGGATTTTTTGGGATGTCAGAACTGTTTGCTCAGGGTTCTACTATTGGTTGTGGAAGTAGACTGAATAATTTTGTAAAGGAGGTCA